GGCGCCGAGCCTGTTTGTTTGTTTTGAGACAGAGTCTCAGTAACCTCAAACTCAGGCTATCCCCTTGCCTCAGCCTTCTGAGTAGCTGGGACTATAGGCACCCTCCACGATGCCCAGCTAGTTTTTCTATTTTTAGTAGTGATGGGGTCTCGCTTTTTGCTCAGACTGGAATACTGTGTGTTTATGTAAGACAGTAGTACCATATGTAAGATTTTCCTCCTCCTCTTTTACAATCTACCCGAGACAGAGGGCAGAAACATATAGTAAGCTAAATGAAAGTACAAGGTGTGTGTGTCTCACTGGTAACTGAGCAAAGCAGTGGGGAAAAAACTGGAGGCAGGGAGCTCAACTAAAGTGAGCGATGACAACCTGCAAGTGATAAGGGGTTGGATCCCAAGTGATAAGGGAACCAAAATTTTGGAGGGACACATGAGAGAAAAAGTACATGAGGTTTGATGATTATACTTGTCAGAGGGGGAGTGCCCAAGGTGATTGTTTTTTGTTTTTTTAGAGACAGAGTCTTACTTTATTGCCCTTGGTAGAGTGCTGTGGTGTTAACAGCTCACAGCAACCTCTAAGTCCTGGGCTTAGGCTATTCTCTTGCCTCAGCCTCCCAAGTAGATGGGATCACAGGCACCCGCCACAACACCTGGCTATTTTTTGTTGCAGTGGCTTTTTTTTGTTGTAGTTTGGCCTGGGCTGGGTTCGAACCCACCACCCTCAGTACATGGGGCTGGTGCTTTACCCACTGAGCCACAGGCGCTGCCCAAGGTGATTGGTTTTGAAGTTTGGAACTGAGTGACTTAGAAAATGATTAAAAACAGGGAAATCAAAATTGATAGTAGGAAAGAGGTAACTCAGTGGATAGGGTTGTTGATGTCTGTGGGGGGAGAATAGTACAATATCTCAAAATCAAGTATATCATTGGGGCATCCCAAGCAAATTGGAAGCAACAGGATAGCTAGGAGTTAGGAGAGAGACTAGGTCTGGAGAGATAAATTGGTGAGTTGTCTATAGAGATGTAATGGCAAAAGTGGAATAGTTTGATAAGTTGTGAGGTTGGAGAATTGAACTTTAGGAATTGTTTGGTGTTGGGAGGGAAGAACAAAGCAAAATCAATTATCAGACTATTTGTAAAACTAATTGTAGAGGCTATGAATGTCTGATAGAGCTACATATTAACCTCTTTTTGTTTAATAATAGAACATTGGGAGTTTAAACAGCTATCTCCTAAGTACTAGGCATCACTGGAAGAGAACACTGTATATATGTGTATTGCCTTAGTTATATGTGTGCCAGTTACTGTGGTGAGGCGATGGTCCCATAAAGCTGCTCTGTGTCTTGTGTTTTCAAGAGGGTATCTCCCCCAACCCTCACTCTAGGGAGTGGTGTGCACAAAGAACATAGGGAAAAAGAATAATGGATTAAAACTTTAAAAATGTGGTATTTTATTTTTATTTTTTTTAAGGGGCTGTCTTGGTCTCTCTTACCTTTTTTCCTTCATGAGAGGAACCCATTTCCAACTCTCTTTGGAAGTGTTCTAAACTTTCTCTTTGTTCTTCCTAAATATAATTTTTCTTTGTCACATTGAGAAAAAAATAAGGAAACTGTCTTAGTTCAATTCTGTTGCTATAAGAAAATTTCTTAGATTGGGTAATTTATAAATAACACAAATTGTTTTTTACAGTTCTGGGAAGTGTCCAACATCAAGTTGCCAGTAGATTCTGGTCTGGGTAAGGGTTCATTTTCTGCTTCTGAGTTGGTGTGTTCTCACATGGCCAAAGGGCAAAAAGGGCCTGATGGTCTGAGTCCTCCTGAGGCCATCACTTCTGAAAGGTCCTGCCTCTTACTATTACTGCGTTGGGAATTAAGTTTCAACCTGAATTTTGGAGGGACACAGACATTCAAATCATAACAAGGACAAAAGATTAGATTGTGTTGTTTTTTAAGACTTAAATCCCTCTGAGGGCTGGGTGCAGAGTAAACACCTGTAATCCTAGCACCTTGGGAGGCCACTTGAGGCCAGGAGCACTTTAATTGACCACTTGAGGCCAGGAGTTCAAGACCAACCTGGGCAACATAGTAAGACCACGTATCTCAACACAAAATTTTTTAAAAATTAGTTGAGTGTGGTAGTGCATGCTTGTAATTTCAGTGACTCAGGTGGCAAAGGCAGGAGGACTGCTTGAGACTAGGGATTAGAGAATAGCCTGGTCAACATAGTGAGACCCCCATCTCAAAAAAAAATTATGATAATAAAATAAAATAGCTGGGTTCGTGGCACACACTTGTAGTCTCAGCTACTCAGGAGTTCAAGGCAGGAGGGTGGCTTATTCCTAGGAATTTGAGGCTGCAGTGAGCTATGACTGTGCCACTGCACTCCAGGCTGGGCAGCAGAGAGGGACCTCGTCTCAAAAACAAAACAAGGGCAGTGCCTATGGCTCACTGAGTAGGGTGCAGGCCCCATATACCGAGGTGTGGGTTCAAACCTGGCTTCAGCCAAACTACAACAACAACAACAACAAAACAAACGCTGGGAAAAGGAAAAAAAATTTTTTTTTTTTGGTTTTATAACTTGATGTTTCTGACAATCACCAGTTCTCATCTACATTGACTCTATATTTTTGAAAGTGGTAACAGGTACATAGATAACCAAAATATAGAGCTTGTTTGTGTAGTTTTCATCTTCATTACATTTTATGGACAACTGCAAACAGATATGGTATAGGGCATTCCTTATGCCTTTGGCCCAGACACCTTTGTTGAGCCTGGTATCAGTATGCACATCTCTAGTCCCCATCTCTTTCGTGGCAGATTTCCAGATTTCTTTGAATGCCTGAGGGGCACACTTGAAGCCCACTCTCTGTACGGACTTGTGAATGTGGGTGGTGTATTTTGAGTTTACCACCTCATTGATGGCAGAATGGCCCTTCTCACTACCCTTCTTTGCGAGAGCCATTCTGCTAGTCCCCATGTTGGAAAGAAAGAGTCCCTTTTCTGCATTCTTTTCTTTTTTATGTTTTTAGCTGGCTTGGGCTAGGTTCGAACTCAACAGCCTTGGTGTATGTGGCTGCTGCCCTACCCACTGAGCTATGGGTGTTGCCCCACCTTTTCTGTATTCTTGAGTAGATAGAAATTTTCCTGTGGTACTGGATTCCAGTCCACAGATATATTCTGTCTTATGGTCTCAGAATATATAGGTGAGTGCTGAAATGATAGAAATCAATACTATATTACAACTGCTGATTAGTGTCTTCCATTTTTACTGGGAGCCAAAGGAAAGCTTTTTAGTCAAGTACTGAATATCCTGCCCCTGCTTCTGTCTTATAGTACTTGGATATGTTTGCCTATTATATTATTTAATCCATGGGCATTTCCATGACTTCCAGAGCTCTTTCTGCTGGTTTTAATGCTATTCCTTTAGTTTTGTTCTTAGTTTAGAGAAAGATCTTGGTAATAGATTTGTTGGTCTGGTTGCTTAGCAGCTTGCTGTGATTATGTAGCTTGGAACAGATACATTGCCATTTGAAAATCTTGGTTTCTGTAGGTATATATTGCATCAATCTTAGAATTGAAAACTTTTTTGCTATTGCAGTGAAAGTACAAATGAATAATTCTATAGCATTTGATAGAAAATATCTTTATGTTCATATAATGCTTTGTCCTGTTTTTTTAATAGTTTTTCCCTTGCCCTCATAACTTGTGGTATAGTCTTATTTATATACATTGCAAAGGCAGTAAACCTTCATAAAAGAGTTGTTAAGGTTTTATTTAGATGCATGAAATGAGGAGCTGGTCTAGAATGGTTAGGCTGGACATAAGAAGAATTTTTTTTTTTTTTTTTTAGTTTTTGGCGGAGGCTGGGTTTGAACCTGCCACCTCTGGCATATGGGACCAGCACCCTACCCTTTTGAGCCACAGGCGCCGTCCAAGAAGAATCTTTTAATGGTATTTCTGAGCACATTTCAATTTTCAAATGAAATTTGATTTTTTTATTTCACTTTCTTGATAATTTTCATAATACCCAGTTGGTGTCTTCCTTTCTTAACTGTTAAATGAAAATCTTATTTCCTCAGTGTTTCCCAGTTAAAGTCTATTTGGAATAGAACTGTCTGTAAGTGCACTGTCTTTACTGTAGCATCAGTAGGTTTTAGAATGGGGTGGGGAATATAAAGCCTGAAATTCACTATATAGAACACAGTAGCAAATGATTTTTTCCTTTGCCCTCCTAACTGTGAAGGTGGTGTATTGTCTCTGTGATGCCAGAATGTGGTACAACATAATCTTTTGCCTATACTTAGTATAAATTTATTAGACATAGTTCCTGCATGCAGTCCAGCAGAGAGCCCTGCGTTACAGAAATAATTCTTGTGCTGCTGAGCTGGCGATTTCCCTACTTAATCACTTGTGTGACGTCATCTGTGCTATTGGTAGGAAATGTGCTGACCATGTCCTGCATTTTAAGAGGCAGTTGCAACAAAGGCATTAACTAAAAATGAAATCAAAAATAGACCTTTTAAGTTACATTGTAGGTCTTCAAAGTCCAGAGGATTAAAGTGGCAAAAGGTTATATTAATTAATAGGTTTGATTTGAAGAATAACATTTTGTAGTTGGGCATCTAGTTATCAGCTGACATACTCATTCCTAATTGTTTTCTTTTCTGCTCCAGAGTCATTGCAGAGCAGAGGAAGAAGTAGGCAAGCAGGAAGAAAGTATTACATTCAGAAGTCTGAAATGGTTTTCTAATTTTCAAATGAGTCTCTAACATTCCAAATTTGTTTTTATAATAAGGATCACACAAAACATTCATTGTTTGCTTGAGATTCTTTTAATGGCAGCTATAAATAGACAAGTTCAGACTTTGGTCATTGATGGCTGTACTGGATTGCTAGTGAATCTTTTGTTGAGGGAAAAAAAGCAGGACCCCTAATGTATATTTGATTTCTTGGCAGAAAGATGGATACTACAATGCTGAATTTGCGGAATCTGTTTGAGCAGCTTGTGCGCCGGGTGGAGATTCTCAGTGAAGGAAATGAACTCCGTAAGTCATTCTGAGTTGGCATGTGCAAAGAGAAAAACACATTTCACAGTTGGGTTTTCTACACAGCTGAAGTGTGTTCCAGTCTTACAGTTGGTTTTCATTTGAGTTACCAACAGAAAGTGATGGTCACTTAATCATTATCAAAGCCTAATGGTCACTAGAATTTTTCTAGAGTTGTTCTTAAATGGATTTTACACAGACCTTTTGTTGTCAAGGTTCTTTTTCCACTGAATAGTTGGTATTAGTTGCCAATTTCATTTTTTACCATGAACTGGGAAAAATCTGGATATCCTAGGATGTTGGATGTTGTTGTTTTTTCTTTAGTAGTTGTCTATTATTTATTTATTTATTTGTTTATTTTTGAGACAGAGCCTCAAGCTGTTGCCCTGGGTAGAGTGCGATGGCATCACGGCTCACAGCAACCTCTAACTCCTGGGCTCAGGTGATTCTCTTGCCTCCATCTCCCAAGTAGTTGGGACTATAGGCGCTCGCCACAACACTGGACTATTTTTTGGTTGCAGCTGTCATTGTTGTTTGACGCCCTGGCTGGATTCGAACCCGCCAGCTCAGGTGTCTGTGGCTTGGTGCCTTAGCCGCTTGAGCCACAGGCGCCGAGCATTGTCTATTATTTTTTTATCTGGGGCTTTCTCTGTGTTCTATAAAACATTTGCAATTGAAAAAGGAAAAAGTCATAATTTCCTTTTTGCAGGAGAGACTAGCCATCTACTTTCACTACTCCATATATTTGATACTTAGTAATAAAGGATTGAGATAGGTTAGAAAGCTGGGAGAAAAAAGATGTTGATAGAGGGAACTGTCTCGGAAATAAATTAGCAAGAAAGAAAAGTGGAGCTAATGGTACTGATGTATATGATCTAAGGGAATTATTCTCTACTGGCTTCTCTTTGTGCTGCTATCCTCTCCTAATTTCAGACTTTCATTAATACCTAATTTAGTAAATGTTGCTCTAAAGTCAGCCCCCCTGGTATATAATATTAATGTAAAAACTGTGTCTTAAACTTTTTAATTTCCATAGTACTTCGTATGACATCTTGCTTATGCCATTCAATATTTTCTTTAAATTGATTGATGTTTTTAATAGCTCTTATCCACTTACAGGCCTTTCAAAACAATATTCTATTTTCTCTCTCTAATAGCTACTGCATGACCCTGTCATCTGGTACCAGCTCAGTAACCATGATAGCATACTAATTAGGATTCTCTTTGAGGTCACATCATCTCAGAAGATGGATTGCTTTGGAGACTGGTGGGGAAGAGTATGGAATAAGATCTTAAAATTCAGGTTCACTGAGCAAATATTTTGTTGAAACCTCTCATTTTTTCTAGCATATGTTGAGTTAGGGAAAGGGATAACTAAATTGTTTCGTGAAGAAAGTAGGATTCGAGTTGAAGCTTAAATGTAAGGTAGGATCCTAATAGGCAGAGATGAAAGAGGGCCTTTTAGTTCAGGTACTAGCCTATGTGGAGGCAAGAGGGTGTGGGGCTTGAAAGGGATAGAAGTAAGGGGGACTGACTTAATTCAGAGCTGTGCCATGGGAAAATTACCCTAAGAAAGGAGTGGGCTGCATTAGAGGTTGAGGCCTGAAGACAGACTAGGAATGAGATGTTTGCCACAGCTCAGGAAAGAGGCAATAAGAGCCCTCACAGGAATGGTGGTCATGAAGATCGATGTATGGGGAAATCAGTGGAAGAGATGTGATTATAGAGTCTCTAGGAAGAGGCAGCTGATAGGATGTGGGGCCAGAGGGAAGAGTCTGTTTAGAGTTTTGATAACTTGTGCTGGCCTTTACCCATTCTGTGTCTCTTTCTCCATCTGTAAAACAGAAACATAAATGTCTTTATCTTCTTTGTGAGAATACTATAAGGATTTAGGGAAAAATTGAGATACTAGTTGTACTTTGCAAGTGATTATGCCGAAAACCTCCCCAAATCAAGATACCTATTTTTATAGGTGTCCTTATTTGAAAGCAAATTTTTATCTTCCCATTGACTTCTTTTATTAAATAGAGGCACATTTCACACCCGTGTCTAAATCTCTAACATAGAAAGTTGGCTTTTGAGGAACTAAAGTGGCGCAGTGTTTTTTTTTTTTTTTGGCCAGGGCTGGGTTTGAACCCGCTGCATCTGGCATATGGGGCTGGTGCCCTACCCTTTTGAACCACAGGTGTTGCCTAAGGCTTAGTGTTTTCTAGCCTCTAAAATCTTATTTGTGGTCAGGCGTGGTGGCACTCTGGGAGGCCAGGGCTGGTGGATTGTCTTGAGTTCAGGAGTTCAAGACCAGCCTGAGTGAGATCTTGTCTCTTAAAAGAAAAATACCTGGGCATTGTGGTAAGCTGTAGTCCCAGCTACTTGGGAGGCTGAGGTAAGAGGATCATTTAAGCTGAAGAGTTTGAGGTTGCTATGAGCTATGATGCCACAGCATTCTACCAAGGATGACAAAGTGAGACTCTGTCTCAGTTAAAAAAAAAAAAGTCTTACTTGTGTAACCACCACAGTATCTGTCCTCTTTTTAGATCCTTAGGAATTCCTCCCACGCTTAAGTATCCCCGACTCCTTATTTTTGCCTTTCTTCATAACTTCATTTCTTTCTCCTTTTTGTGTAGTTTTTAAAGAGCCAAGTCCAAAGTTATTGAGAGATCAGAAAGAAAATTAATATTTAAATAATTATGGGTAGTGCCTGTGGCTCAGTGGGTAGGGCACCGGTCCCATACACCAAGGGTGGCGGGTTTGAACCTGGCCCTGGCCAAACTGCAACAAAAAAATAGCCAGGCGTTGTGGTGGGCTCCACAGCTACTCGGGAGGCTGCAGAGTAGTCCCAGCTACTCAGGAGGCTGAGGCAAGAGAATTGCCTAAACCTAGGAGTTGGAGGTTGCTGTGAGCTGTGATGCCACTGCAATCTACTGAGGGCACTAAAGTGAGACTCTGTCTCTAAAAAAAAAAAAATAATTATTATTAGCATAAGTATTCTTTTTTTTTTTTTTGAGACAGAGCCTCAAGCTGTCCCCCTGGGTAGAGTGCCGTGGCATAGCTCACAGCAACCTCCAACTCCTGGGCTCAAGCAAGTCTCCTGCCTCCACCTCCCAAGTTACTGGGACCACAGGCACCTGCCGCAGCACCTGGCTATTTTTTTTTGGTTGCAGCCATCATCGTTGTTTGGCGGGCCCAGGCTGGATTTGAACCCGCCACCTCAGGTGTATGTGACTGGCGCCTCAGCCACTTGAGCCACAGGTGTCAAGTCAGTGTAAGTATTCTGTTATCTTTTCTCTAGTCTATTTGGTTTTTATGTTCTGTTTTTATTTATTTATATACAGTAGAACCTCTGTAAGTTGACCACCTAAGGGACATTAACAAACTGGCTAAAATACAGAGGTGGTCAATATAAGGAACTAGGCCTGATATACTAATACATACATTGGGTGAACATCTAGCCTATGAAATTAGGTCAATTTAAGGAAGTTGTCATCTATGGGGCTTCTGCTATATTTTAGTTTCAGATATAGGAGCTTTTCTGATGAAACAGAAGATAGTACAAGTATGAAAATATATGCTTTGGGGAAGTCTAAAAGGATTTAATGTGGAACAAACTGATTAGGAAAGGATTCATAGAGCAGATAGGTCTTGGTAAGTGTGTATGTAAAGAAGAGTAGCTAAGCCATTCCATTTGGAGTGCATAGCTTGGTCACAAGAAGGCAGAGATGAATGTAGATCTGTTCTAGGGATAGAGAAAGACTGGTTTACCTAGAGAGATATTCATTGGTAAGGTTGTGGTGGTCTTGGATGCCCAGAGTTTGGGCTTGGCGCCTGTAGCACATTGGCACAGTGGTTATGGCATCAGACACATACACTGAGGATTGTGGGTTTGAACCTGGGCCGGACCAGCTAAACAACAATGACAACTGCAACAAAAAAATAGCTGGGCGTTGTGGCAGATGCCTATAGTCCCAGCTACTTGGGAGGCTGAGACAAGAGAATCGCTTCGGCCCAAGATTTTGAGGTTGCTGTGAACTGAGATGCCACGGCACTCTACCTAGTGTGACATAGTGAGACTCTGTCTCAAAAAAAAAAAAAGATAAATTTCCCAGAGTTTAAATTTGACGTGAACAACAGCTCTTCACTGATTTGTTCAACACTTAATATGCAAGTGCCTACCATGTGCTAGACAAACCGGAAGGCACTGGAGATAAAAGAGCTAAAGAGACAAAGGATCCTTGCTCTTAAGAAGCTTAGGTCTTGGCTCGGCGCCTGTGGCTCAAGCGGCTAAGGTGCCAGCCACATACACCTAAGGTGATGGGTTTGAATCCCCAGCCCGGGCCCGCCAAACAACAATGATGGCTGCAACCAAAAAATGGCCGGGCATTGTGGCGGGCGCCTGTAGTCCCAGCTACTTGGGAGGCAGAGGCAGGAGACTCGCTTGAGCCCAGGAGTTGGAGGTTGCTGTGAGCTGTGATGCCATGGCACTCTACCTAGGGGGATAGCTTGAGGCTCTGTCTAAAAAAAAAAGAAGCTTAGGTCTTAGCAGGGAAGACAAAGGGAAGAGCCTATGTCAAGGCTATAGGGGAGTGAACTGAAAAAAAGATCAGGATTTCTATAACCACTTAAATCTGTATGCCGAACTATGAACCTGATTTATATTTGTTATTTTTTAATAATTTAAACTTTTTAAAAATTTTTATTTTTTAGAGAATGAATAAAAGATTATCCTCAATTTGTTTTAAAGAAATTTTCTATCTCCTTCACTTTTGATAGGTGCACTTCATAGTTTTTTTTTTTGTGTGTGTGTGTATATATAAAAAAACTTTTTAAAGTGGGTACTGTAATTTGAATTTAATAAATGGCAGGCTAGTACCAAGTTGAATTGTGATTTACAAATCACCCCTACAATGTTGTGTTTATTGATCTCTACCATCCCCAAATTTTTCCTATTTTGTAGTGGTCCTAGGTGCCTTCTGACCTAGTCATAGTAAACTTCATTCCCAGCAGAATTGTACATAAAAGTAACATCTTAATTGGGTATATAAATGTTGTGGTTTGGGTTGAATATAAGTTAAACCCATAATTTAATAATTTATATTATTAAAACAAGAACTCTTTTCTCCAAATGAACTGATGTTTTGTTTGGTTTGAGTTCTGTCTTCATCTAATTTAGACCTAACATGTATGCCAATTAATAATGAATAGGAATTAAAGTCAAAATTTAAGACTTATCAAAAAGGAGTATCCTAAAGAACAAACAGACCAGCAAAATTCAGTCAGATGAAAATCTTTTTCAGATTGTTTTTAACTTCAGTAAATATTTGAGTGTATGCATTTTCTTCTTCTTTTGTTTAGACAGAGTCTCACTATGCCACCCTGGGTAGAGTGCTGTGGTGTCATAACTCACAGCAACCTCAAACTTCAGCTCAGGCGATTCTCTTGCCTCAGCCTCCCAAGTAGCTGGGACTACAGGTGCCCGCCACAATGCCGGGCTATTTTTTTGTTGCAGTTGTCATTGTTGTTTAGCTGGCCCAGGCTGGGTTCGAACCCTCAACCCATAGCAACCTCAAACTCTTGGCCTTAAGTGATTCTCTTGCCTCAGCCTCCCAACTAGCTGGGACTACACACATCTGCCACAATGCCTGGCTGTTTTTTGTTGTTGTTGTTGCAATTGTCATTGTTTTTAGCAGGCCTGGGCAGGGTTTGAACCCGTCAACCTTGGTGTATGTGGCCAGGACCCTAACCACTGAGCTACGGGTGCCCAGCCTGGTTTATTTCCTTTTTTTTTTTTTTGAGACAGAGTCTCACTTTATCTCCCTTGGTAGAGTGGTGTGGTGTCACAGCTCACAGCAATCTCCAGCTCCTGGGCTTGGGCGACTCATTTGCCTCAACCTCCCAAGTTGCTAGGACTATAGGCACCCACCACAACACCCGGCTATTTTTTGTTGTAGTTTGGCTGGGGCTGGGTTTGAACCCGACACCCTCAGTATATGGGACCGGCGCCCTACTCACTGAGCCACCAGTACCACCCCCAGAACCTAGTTTATTTCTTTATTTTTTTATTTTTATATTTATTTATTTATTTATTTTAAGAGCATGCATTGCCAGGGGCACTGGCTCTATGCAGTAGCTGAGTTCTTCCCCTTAAAGAATCCTAACTTTTTTTTTTTTTTT